AAGCGTGGGTGTGATCACACATGCAGTCACACAATGGCACAGTTGAGCTGGACTCAGGTTCCAACTTCAAGTGTGAGCGTCATAATCAAAAGTTGACAGTTTTGCTCTTGGAGATTAAAAGCAAATTTCATAGCCAATTCAAGTAACAACAACTTTTAAAGGTGACATAGTTGTGCTGGAGCATCAGTTACTACTACTAGTCATTACTAGAGATGTGATTGTTTAAAATGACCCCTTGAATGTATCTTGCTATACACCCGTAATACTTTGCGAAGCACAGTTTGGCCTCATTTATACCACACAACCACCAACAAACATACACACACATGCTTGCACCCTCTTACCTTTCACACTCTTAGACACAAGGAGGAAATGGGCTCTCAGGGGGGGGGGAAGACTTTATGAGTTACGCCTTGTAAAGCGTGCAACATTAAAATCCTTCCCCCCAGGCTCTTACTGATGTGAAGGGCTCTTTTATTGGGGTCAGTAGAGGGCATTGTGTGTGTGTGTGTGTGTGTGTGTGTGTGTGTGTGTGTGTGTGTGTGTGTGTGTGTGTGTGTGTGTGTGTGTGTGTGTGTGTGTGTGTGTGTGTGTGTGTGTGTGTGTGTGTGTGTGTGTGTGTGTGTGTGTGTGTGTGTGGAACTCTTGACCTGACATTAAGCCTCAGTATCTTAGGTCTCCAGTTCACCGAGGTTACATATTTATTGTATTTCGAGTAGCATCTCAGTTTATCTCTTACCCTCATCTATGGAAACATTTCCTAAGTGTACACACTCATTCAATTACCTTCAACTGAGATAGACTTAAACACAACCACTCTCTCATAAACCTTCACTCACACAGTTTATTGAACCACCTCTTTTAAATGGCCTATGGTCATTTAATGATGCAACGGATGGAAAGCCTGTTGATGTGCTGTGTTAGGTGTGTGTGTGTGTGTGTGTGTGTGTGTGTGTGTGTGTGTGTGTGTGTGTGTGTGTGTGTGTGTGTGTGTGTGTGTGTGTGTGTGTGTGTGTGTGTGTGTGTGTGTGTGTGTGTGTGTGTGTGTGTGTGTGTGTGTGTGTGTGTGTGTGTGTGTGTGTTCCACAGTAATAGCTCTCAGAATGTTATTTGCCTAATGTTTTTTACACGGCAGTATATTAGTTACCAGCAGGCTTTTATGCTTGTTCACACTTCACTATTCATTCTAGGTGAGTTTGTTCTGAATAACATGACCTTGCTCTGGTGGCTTTTGTCGCTTTGCTCCAGGGCTTTTTAATAATTCATGACAAATAATTGCTCCACTTTTTTTAATCTCTTTTGTAGAAAATTGCTTAATGTTATTGATGTTATCTAGAAGTACCGTCATTCGGCGAAGGTTAATTAATTAATAATCCAATTTAGTGAAGAAATAAATTCAAGCACAAACATGAATAAACTGTGCTGTTCAACTTCAAGCACTTGACAGACACTATATGAAACAAAGACTTGTTCTTATATAAGATAACATCCTTCTTCACAGTTAACTAAAAGTCGTTCTATCTCTATATATCTAATGCAGAGTGCAGTTGGGGGGTGGGAGTGTTTTGGGATTAGTGTGTGATTCGTGGTCCCGTGGTGGTGTTTGACTGGAAGTGCAGTGTAGAATCACACTTCAGACGATGATTCATCTGTGCTAACAAGCGTTCACAGACAAAGGATCTCTCCTCCTCTCGTGTCTTACCTCTTAGGAGCCACATAAACACACTAGTCTCTTTCATCTGCCCGGCACCTGTGAGCCCCGTCAAACTAGTGAGGAAATAAATGGTAAAATAAGATCATAATTCTTTCTTATTTTGTATTTGTCACATTGTATAACCTAACCGTGACTATCCTGCACACTCTAGCAGAGATACTTGAATACTCTTGTTCATCCATCCTTTCATTATCTATCAAACTGTACACAGGTGCTCAATCCTCATCCATAGATGTTTTGAAGGACTGGGTCAATACATTGGTGTTATTCGAGGATTGAGCGCCATCCTGACAGTCTAGTCTTACAGAGGCCAACACTAACAATGCACTCATTCCCTTTCTGTCAACTCACAAAGACTGTAAGGATTAGAAATTGAATATCCTTTAACTGTCAGCCTGTTAATTGTTGACTGTCAGCTGATTTGCTGTTTATTGGACATTCAGCTCTTTGCATCTGTCACGTCTTAAACTGCCTCGTCCAAAACAATCTAGAGATGTTGTGCAGTCAGCGATCCAAGATGAAGCCAATTTACCGTAAACTTGTACTATTTCAGATTTCACAAAATGGTTATCTTTTTATTTTAGATAGCAGGTGAGTGGTTAACCATGTTTTTACATTTGTATTTTGTATAGCCATGTCATGTGTGCTTTCATGGTTCTGACCTACCTTTAAATAATTTCCTTGACATTAATGTAAGATTCAACCTTTGAAAGAATACAATAAGGAAATATGACATGAGTGGTTTTCTAACAATGTTTTAGGGTATTTATTCCTATAGTCTTTACAAAGACGATGGTTTTGGTGAGGGAGAGGCTTGGTGTGGCCATAGTACTACTTGGTACAAAATAAGATGTTAAAGGTCCCACGTCATGGCCATTTCTACTGATCATATTTCCATCTCGGTATACTAGAATAGATTTAAATTGTGCAATTTTGCAAACTCACATTGGTTTCTCATACAGCATCTCTGTATAGTATGTGTATTCACCAGGTATTCACTCTCTGTCCTAAACGGCTCGTTGGAGCTCCTGCCCCCCCCCCTCTCTGTGAGCCCAGTGTGCTCTGATTGGTCGGGACGTTGCGAGACTCGTTGCGAGGCTCATTGCGAGGCTCGTTGCGAGGCTCGTTGCTGCGAGCTGCTGCGAGGAGCGGACAGGTTTCCGGGTTGGCGATACAGCGAGAACAAGCGAAACTCATCCTGAGCACACACAAACACTCACAGCCGAAGTAAAAACAATAAGTGTGGCTTGATATTGAGTAAGAAAAAGGTTTATAACGCTGTGAGAATGGGTCTGCAGAGAGAATTTCTCCGCCATCCCAACTCGTCTATTACCAACATTCAGGGAGCTCTATGCAAGTCAATGGGACTCCCTGTTAGTTAGCCAAGGGATCCTGGTGTGTGAGGTGCTCCGCGGATTGGTCCATTTGGGGCAGCATAGACAGGTATTTTCTGTGTTAGAGTTTTACTCGCTACAGGGTGTACTTTGAGGGTTTGTGACTCTGCAGACCGTTTACATGCATAAAAACCTTCATAACACACAAGGGGACGGGTAATAACCGGAAAAGCATGACATGGGACCTTTAAAGAAGGAGCAGTGATGGAAAAGTTACTCGAGAAATGTAATAAATCACACATGACATGTTACTCATTGAGAAAGTGATAACACGGTTAATTAGTTACATTACTTGTTACTTTACTTTTGTGACTCAGTTTATCTCTTCCAAAGGTGCATTCGACTCCAAATGATTACCTTTTTATCTTTCACAATAAAAGCCCAACTTTAATTTACTCAGCATTTCACTAAGAAGCAACTCAACACAATGGCTTACAATATTGTTCCAGTAGGTGTCAAAAATACTCACTCTGCTTTGAGCAAAGACAACAAAGGTCGGTATTTGCTCAATATGAAATATATTTCATGATCAGGGACGCTCAGATCAGTTTCTGTGACAGTTGGTGTTGTGTTTAGACTAAATCCATAAAGCACCCTTTGCATCTGACACTCTGCAACATTCATTTACTTTAACTAAGCCTCCAGTTGTCAGGAGGGGAAATCTGTGGTAAATCTCCTGGATAATCATGTAGCAGGTGGGAAGACTAAGCAACACACATAAAGAGAAGAAGACAAGACACAGATGGACTGAATCAGAGAGCAGTCAAAGTTCAAAGAGAAAGAAAGACAAAGACTAATTCACCCTGATGAGCCAGAGGAGGATAAAGAGATCCATAATGAACTGCTAGAAAGTGCTTCAAACTTTAAAGCAACTTCAGGAGAAAAGGATGTGTATATGGTAAAATGTTCTGGTACTCACTCAGATCCTGATGACGCAGCGTTTCTCTGATATCAAAGAAAACAAGAGCAGCTGTCAGGCGCTAAATTGTGGCTGCTAACAGTTTATGACATGAGTGGGAGGAAAGGAAGAGCGAGAAGAGGAAAGGAAGAGCGAGAAGAGGAAAGGAAGAGCGAGAAGAGGAAAGGAAGAGCGAGAAGAGGAAAGGAAGAGCGAGAAGAGGAAAGGAAGAGCGAGAAGAAGAGAGAAAGCTAAAAGCAGGATTCCTGCACTTCAGGCTTTTGATTTGTGGCAGCGAGCTGAAGGTAGACAGGAGGAGAGGAAAGGGAAGGGATTTAGGATGGAGAGAGAGAGAGAGAGAGAGATAAGAGTGACAGGTAAAGGATGTGAAGGGAGGAGGAGGGCAGAAGAAGCATTTAGGTGAGGAGAGAGTGAAAACATATCTAAGACTCAAAAGAAGTAAAAGCGGAGTGTTATGACTTTGGAAGTCTTTTGTCACGACTCAGATGAGCTCAGATGCCCTCTAGCAAACACGCCTTTACAGTGCCCTTGAAGTGTAAGTGGGTTAGAGTAAGTATTGATGCAAACACAGCTTAAGTGACAAGAAAACACATCAGAAACTCTTTATCAACAGTCTTTATCAACATAGGAGCGCCATGTAGAGCACATCATAGATACTTAAGGATCTGCAAAGGCATCACAAAAGTATAACTGTAACTTATGCACTATTGCATTTATGAATGTGTGTTTTGTGCCTGTTGATTACAGTCTTATCTCACTGATTTATAAATCATCAGACCAGAAATTATTTATTTTAGAGATAATTTGCAAACCCAACCAGTGCTTCATAAAAAGTTGCATTATTGCGAGATGTTCTGTTGAACTTCTGGATCTATCTTGGGTATTTGTAGAGCATAACATAGCAAGTGTTTTTCTATCATACTCTGTTGTTTCAAATGTATCTGAATATGTGTTTTCTGTGTCCTACCCTCAGGTGAAAGTGATGGTGCGCGTGTGTCCAGTGTCTCAGTCGGACGCAGCTGAGTCCAGTTCCTTCCTTAAAGTTGATCCCAGGAAGAAGCAGATCACCATCATGGACCCGTCAGCCAATCAGACACAAAGCGCTGCCTCCACGAAGAAGGCAGCAGCCAATCAGGTCCCTCCAAAGATGTTCACCTTTGATGCTGCGTTCCCTCCTGATGCATCACAGGTAAGAAAAGTTAGGAGAACAAAGGACCTTTCATGACACTAATCTGAAAGACAATGTCAGTGAATTTCTTGAAGATAATCAGAAGAAACCTGGACTTACTGTATTGATGTCATACATAGGGGGTGAATCAAGAGTGTTTTTTTTATTCCGACGGAGCCAGAGCAGCTAAGGTTACCATTTAAAATTAATATAGTCGATTAAAAATGAAAAAGGAACTCTCTTTGGAATAATTGTATGTGGTGTATCTAACATGCTATCAAAAGGAATAATTGTATCAGAATGTGTTCCATTATTCCCATTCTGCAGACTTAGTGTCAATGCTTAATGCAGCATTCACTCCAGCCGGCCGAGTCTCGTCTTCAGTCTGTCTTTGATGCTTTCCAATTATCGCTCCTTTTTCACCGACTAGTTTTGAATTCATAAAATACCAATTACATGGTATTCTCCACCTTCACCAGGGCCTCTGACTTCACTGCTATTAAACCTTTAAATGGAACACCTAGTACTCTCGCTGAGTCTTATAAAAATACATCTGAACTCGGCTTGACAGCAGACCAGCATTCAAGATTCACATCCAAGATTTGACCCAAAAATGTCAAATCAAACTAGGCCTCTAGTATAGAATTAACACACTCAAACTTCAAGTCTCTTTAAAAAAGTGGAGATTTTCTATTTTCATGCCGCCCAATTAACATTGTAGTTGTTCAACCCTGTGCATCACATTTTAAAGGGGTCCTATAATGCATATTTTCAGGTTCATATTTGTATTTTGTTTGTATTGAATAAGGTCTTTATTTTTCTCATATTGCCTGTGCTGCAGCACCTATTTTCACCCTCTGTCTGAAACCAGAGCCCAGTCTGCTCTGATTGGTAAACTGGCCGGCTCTGTTGTGATTGGTCAACCGCTTGAAGATGTCTATCACGTACATTGTGTTTGAGCGCTAGCCAATAGAAGCGCGAGTGTTACGTAGTGATGTCACTTTTATGGAAATAAACAAGGATTCCCATGAAGGCGTTTCAGGCACGGAGGGAGTGTGTTGGAGAGAAACTCACTCTGGAGGGAACTTTGAGATTTGAGCATTTGCATACCATTAAAATGAACAAATAAATGGATTAAATACATAAAAAATAAGCAACACTAATGAGGAACAAACCCATCATCTACATTTTACCATCTTCTTTTGGGTTATCTGTCACTCAAATGTACACACCTTCTATGGCTCCCATGAAGATACGTTTTAACACTTCTCCAACGTACACAGTTCATTATTGTCCAGGTATTTCATTTCTTGACCTTACTCCCTCATCTCTCTCTTTATCTGCCTGTTGCTAGGCGGAGGTGTGCGCGGGAACGGTTGCCGAGGTGATTCAGTCGGTGGTGAACGGAGCAGATGGCTGCGTCTTCTGCTTTGGGCACTCCAAGCTGGGTAACGTACACACACACACACACACACACACACACACACACACACACACACACACACACACACACACACACACACACACACACACACACACACACACACACACACACACACACACACACACACACACACACACACACACACACACACACACACAACAAAAACAGAGCATGTGTGTCTCGTGAGTCATCCTCAGTGTGTGTGTGTGTGTGCGTGTGTGTGTGTGTGTGTGTGTGTGTGTGTGTGTGTGTGTGTGTGTGTGTGTGTGTGTGTGTGTGTGTGTGTGTGTGTGTGTGTGTGTGTGTGTGTGTGTGTGAGCGTCAGTCTCTCACTCGACCGTCTCCCGACTGGTTCTCATCTATCAGAGAGAGAAAGAGGAGGATTAGTGTCTGCTGAAGCTGAAAGCATTCTCAGTCTGTGTTTCTCTCTCTCTAATCCTTCTCTAGCTGGTTTTAAGAGAAGCTGTCTTAAAAAGGGTCAGCATCCCTTACTGCAACATGCCTGGACCCACCACACACACTCACTCACACACAGCCAAAGATGTAACTCAACCCTCGGTCGGTCCCCGTTGTGTTTATCCCTCAGCATGTTCGCAGCATTACCCTTCTTGGCTTGTGATCTTCATACAGCATGTTGGAGTTTCTAAGTCCCCTTCAACTGCTGGCAGAGGACGAAAGCAGGGAATTGAAATGCAGCAGTTCAGCAGGGAACACTTCTGTGTTAACGGCTGAGCCCGGGAACAAACACTAATGAATTTCTATGTAAAACCAACATGCAAAGCGCTGTGTTTCCTTGGGTTGTGCTGTGGGGATTTCATGCCTGACCAAACCAGTTGTAAAAGTAAACTCATTTATACATTTGTTATGAATTAGTGTCTTGTTAATGAGTAGGGATGCCAGGGTGAGGACAATTTTGCACCGGTTATTAAACACCGATTTCAATAAACATTTTACAAGAAAATAATTCCATCGATGACACTCAATTTAAGAATTTGCAGAGCCCTTAAAATCCCAGATATTGCCAAATTGGTGCTTTTGCTTTTTGCTTCCAAATGCTTAACCATTCAGTTATCTTTCCTTTGACTTAAAAAGACACTTTCAATTTATGATTGTAGCGTCCTTTCACTGGACTAAGAATTGATAACATGCGTAGTTTTTTTAATGTGAGCACTGGGTATTAGGGTGGTCCTTCGTGAGAGGTAAATGTTTTGAATTCATTTATTTTAAGCTCCAACCCCCGGAATTCATTCTATTAGTCAAGAAAACTCTCCTGGTGATTTTCTTCCTCAATCTGACAACATTTACACCCCCCCTCATCGGCCTGGGCTGCCACACCATCAGCCACGGTGCTGCAGCTGAGGCTACACTTCAAGGTTGATGAGGGGGGGGGGTAAATGTTGTCAGATTGAGGAAAAAAATCACCAGGAGAGTTTTCTTGACTAATAGAATGAATTCTGGGGGTTGGAGCTTAGACTTTCCGACTTTCAATTTGAAGGACCACCCTACTGGGTATGTCTGAAATAGTAGAGGAAGGCTAGTAGTATGAGTATTCTCAACATTGGTTCTAATTTAGTCATTTTTACTGTCATCACTGGCAACACATTCGCTACATTGAATCGAAAGGTCAAAAGACATACGTTTTTCAGACAGTCAGAAAGTTAAAGTCAGCTTTTTAGACACATTAATTGCATTTGTCTACTATAAACTATACTGTAAACCACTTAAATTGAAGGTAAAACTGAGAGTCAACTGAAAGCAAAGTGTCATGTATTACCAAATTCAGCCGGCAATTAGCCTCACCAGCCAACACTTGGGTGAACCCTCATGAAAAGATATAAAACACACTGGTAATGTTGCAAACAAGCCCTCGATGCACAATAAAACCACAAGTGTACGCCACGTAGTTGTGATAAATCAGGCTGTATGTTTCCTGCTATCAAAAAGGCCAACTAAAGAAAGCTCCGACAGGCAGTGTAGATCACTGTATCACATCTTTCACCATGTCATGTCTTCACTCAGCATTCAAACATTCACACATGGGATAACTGTGTCATGGTCCATGAAGATGATTCATAGTGGATAATACTGTGACTGGAACCCACACACACACACACACACACCTCCTATTGTCAGTGTTTGGCTATGTTGAGTAATTGGCATTTCCAGATTTTCTGGCTTTAATAATGCAACAGCTTTTATATGATCCATCAAAGAGAGTTTGCTCTTTCAATCAATTTTACTGTTATATTAATGCCGTGGAGCGCCTCTAACATCGCTGGTTTCAGTTAAAACGGCTACAGCAGATGAGATAATTGTTCTCCATATAGCTCTCCTAAGGCCATGGATCTTAATGAGGCTGCATTATAACGGCATTACCTTTTTCCTAATTAAAATGGGGAAAGTAACACAAGGAGCATTTATCTTCTGCCCTGTGGCCCTTGGCTGTAGACACATATGGGGACACACACAAGTCTGCCCATGACACACACACTCACACTTTTGCAAAGAGTAACCAGGCTTTTCATTGAATAGGCAGATACTAAAATAAATGGATGAACTTCAGGAATGTAATTGAATCCTCTGGCTTTGAGTCATGTCTGATGGATTATGGTAAAAGTTAATGGATTATTGGCTTAGGTTGGATCATCTTTTATAAATGATGAGTGTGTGTATGTGTGTAAGCTCATGTGTGCATGTCTTTGAACTGGTGATACAGAGCTGCCTTGTTCTCTCACACTGTCTTCACCCTGTTCACTTTCCTTCTGACAGCATGCGAAGCTCTGCTTGAAGGGACCAATTACTGTGAATATGCATCAACTAACCAGACATGGGCACACACACAGACAACACACACACACACACAGCTTTGTTGCCTGTGGTGTGTTGTCACTGCGTTACAGTGTTAGTCAGTGTAATCAGCAGTAATCTATCTGACCATATCTTGACAGCCTGTGGTAGTCAGAACTTGTAGATGTAATTTAAGACTCCCTTACACAGCCCTGAAAGGCAAACCAAGAGAAAGGACGGTTGTTCAAGTACTCTGTGGTTATGGTAGCGGTAAGACAAAGAGCCATTATGATCGAGGGGGCCCATTGGATTTAATACAAATAAATTCAGAAATTCAGTTAAATCAAAGTAAATGACTAAATGTTGCTTATTTTTATACAACTGATCATATTCTTTATTGTATACTTTGACAGAATTTGTAGGTTTTATCTATAGCAGATTTAGCATTGCGCTTTAGAGACCAATAAAGGCTTTCATTTCCACTATGTTATAAACAATTTCTAAACATTTTTGTTGAGCTTTTTCACTATTTCTCCCCTACTTTTTCTGAATTTTATGTGACAATACATAAAATGAACCTTTGTTTCGATAGTAAGTCTTGACGCCCCTGTAAAAACATTGAGGGAGAACAATGTAAAATGTCAGTGACAACCGCCCCTCCATGCTGCATCTTTGAACAAATGTGAACACATTTCTCTACCCTGCATCACAGCAGCCAGGCTTTTGAAGTCCTCTGTTTCTGTGTAAGTGTTAGTGTCAGTGTGGTTGTGAGGTGTGACATATGGCTTTGTTTAGGTTTGTGTTTGATCTCCCACTCCTGACAGTCAGAGCAGCTGTGTGTGTATGTGGTGAGGATAATCATCATCTTGTGTCCCAAGTGATAGATATGGATGCTCCATGTGCACATTCAGGCATTCAAACACACACACATGTCACACACACACCTATTCACACAGAGCACCTTTTCACTTGCTAGTGTTATTGATGATGTCCATCTTTTTCTGCACCCTTATTTGGTCTTCCTGTCTGCCTCTTGCAGGTAAATCCTACACCATGATTGGCCGAGATGACTCGCTTCAGGCTCTGGGAATAATCCCATGTGCCATCTCCTGGCTGTTTAAACTCATCAATGAGAGGAAGGAAAAAACCGGAGCTCGCTTCTCAGTGCGCGTGTCTGCAGTGGAGGTCAGTGTTACTGGCAACTCTGCTGATGCAGACTTTTAGGAGAGGAGGTTACTAAAAATATCTTTACTAAGTGGTCAGTTCAGTAGCTTTAGTGCTGGCAGTGGCACATCAAATGCTTATCACTGTAATATTTACTTTCTCTGATATGGTTTTAGATTTTCCCTTTACAATTGGTCTGACAGGAGTTTGTCATAGATTATTCGAGGAAGGATTTTGTCTGAAAAAAATACAATGTGATGTGGTTTATACTATTAGTCAATATTGCGTGTGTGTGTGTGTGTGTGTGTGTGTGTGTGTGTGTGTGTGTGTGTGTGTGTGTGTGTGTGTGTGTGTGTGTGTGTGTGTGTGTGTGTGTGTGTGTGTGTGTGTGTGTGTGTGTGTGTGTGTGTGTGTGTGTGTGTGTGTGTGTGTGTGTGTGTGTGTGTGTGTGTAGGTTTGGGGAAAAGAAGAGAACCTTAAGGACCTGCTGTCTGAAGTCGCTACAGGAAGCCTACAGGATGGACAGTCACCTGGAGTCTACCTGTTTGAGGACCCCATCTGTGGCATGCAGGTATAGAAACACACACTCACACACACTGCAGCTGACAGGAATATTTTCTTATGTAATGTGACTGCTGTATATTAAATCCTGTGTGTATGAACAGCCTCTGGCCTTGTATCAATATGCTCTGCGTTTATTTCTTGGAGCCTCAGGCGAATAGCTGTGGGATATGAATGCTTCCTTAGACTTATAGTCACCTTGGAGCAGCAGATAAAATATGAGAGCTTTATCGTGCCATTATAGTCTTTTTTCTTCAAAAATAAACCAAGCGTCTTTTAAAACACAGGGTTCAGAAATAGCTCTGAATGGCTTAGTCAGAATCAAAGAAAAGAAATGTCAAGTGTCTGATTCAATGACATGTACAAATAGAAGTATAGCTAGAGAAAAATATGTTGTCTGCTTATATTCAAGATTGTGGACTGATGTTTTTTCATTTAATTTAATGATAAATAGTTCACTTTAATAAGCATGAATCAGCCAACAAAAGGCATTACATTAAATCCCAATTATAGTTAATGTTATCATCATCATTATTTTAAAGTTTTAATTACATAATAATGTGAATAGTGTGTGTATGAAGAGGAGCTCAATTAACATCTGACTGACAGAAGATTAACTAGTGTGTGTGTGTGTGTGTGTGTGTGTGTGTGTGTGTGTGTGTGTGTGTGTGTGTGTGTGTGTGTGTGTGTGTGTGTGTGTGTGTTGTGGTGTGTGTGTGTGTGTGTGTGTGTGTGTGTGTGTGCGTGCGTACGTGCGTGTTTGTGTGGTTGCAGTTTTGTTTATGGGATTATAGGGTCTGAAACAAGAACATCTGTGTAATCCTTAACTAATCTGACATAATCTCATCAGTAATGATATCCTGAAGCAACACACACACACCTCTCTCTCTCTCTCTCTCTCTCTCTCTCTCTCTCTCTCTCCTCTCTCTCTCTCTTCTCTCTCTCCCTCTCTCTCTCCTCTCCTCTCTCTCTCCCTCTCTCTCTCCCTCCCTCTCTCTCTCTCTCCCTCTCTCTCTCCCTCTCTCTCTCCCTCTCTCACCTTTGATTCCATTGTTCTCTGACTGCCATATCTGCAGGCACATTAGAAAATGCTTTATTTGAACATGCAAATCATGTACAATACTACACAGTATTTTCCGTGTTTAGACACTTTTTGGCAAGTAAACTGAGCCTCAGATAAGATTAAATGGTATCTTCCCTCTTGTCTGGCTCTTGGCCCTTTCTTATATTCACACAATGTTTCTCCTCCCACACATCTCCCAGCTCCAGAACCAGTCTGAGCTGCGCGCTCCGACCCCAGAGAAGGCCGCCTGGTTTCTGGATGCAGCCATAGCAGCTCGCCACAGCAGCCAGCGGCCAAACACCACCGAAGAAGAACACAGGAACTCACACATGCTGTTTACACTACACATATACCAGTATCGCATGGAAAAGACCGGCAAAGGAGGGAGTAAGTACTGTTTGTTCTAATGTACCTATTAATTATAATACTAACAACAGCAAACAAAAAGCTTATTTTACTGCTGCAGAAACTACTCTTTTATGTTGTTATCACATCACATGATGCCTGCTGTGAGTCCTACACCTGATAATCATACTATTGAAATATTGCTTCCGCACATGGAAGACACAACAATGATAGACAGACCAAAGCATTTACTATACTCACTATAGATATATAAGGAGCGCAGGCAACAGACTTCCTGACAGAGTTGTGCACATACCTGTCAGACTGTATGATCCTGATATAGATGATTTGTTTAGATGAAGTCATATCACACCTGCACTCATGTCTCCATCAATAACTGGATGATAATGAAGGGGTAGTGTGAGTTTCTTTGTGTGTATAACAATGAGACACTGAGACAGATGTCAGACCAAAATAACAATGATAATTAACACCCCGAGTGCTTTTACGTACGCATGCATATGTGATAAAAAAGGCAAAAGTGTGTGTGTTTGTGTGTATGTGTGTGTGTGTGTGTCCGTGTGTGTGTCCATAGCCCCTGAATTCAGAAAAACATCTCAAGCTGCAATGTTTGATTATGTGGAACACATTCTTATGAAATTGTATTATTTTTGTCTTTATTGTAGGGTCTATACTCCTGAAATCAACACCACGGAAAATATGTGTTTGTTGATGATATAGTTGACTGGATTATTATATTCCATCACAAATCAATTAATCTTATTGTGCCGCACCTTGTGGTCAATTAAACTTGCAGAAAGGGTTGGTGTTAGCTCCATAAATCCTGGACTGAAAGGCGTGTTTTGGTGTTTGGACCCCTCCTGGGGAGGCCACTCTCCCACTTTGAACATGTCTGTGCTATTCCTTTTCACTTCAGACCCTCTTACATGTATGTACACCTCACCATCCTCTGTCTGGCTCACCATGTCTGACACATTTTCTCACTTTGCCAGTGTCAGGGGGTCGCAGTCGCCTCCACCTGCTGGACCTGGGCAGCTGTGATGTCAAAGTGCTCGGAGGTGTAGGAGGAGGAGGAGGAGGAGGAGGAGGAGGAGGAGGAGGAGGAGGAGCGGGAGGTGGGAAAGGAAGGGAGAATTCTTCGCCCAGCTCGGCCCCTCTGTGCCTTTCTCTATCCGCCCTCGGCAACGTGATCCTGGCCCTGGTGAACGGGAGCAAACACATACCTTACAAGTAAGCTGCTGTTTGAATGTATGTGTGAGGAGAGAAGGAGAAGAGGAAATGAAAGGAGTGTGCAGAGAAGCGAAGAGTGAGAGGAGGAGGAAAGCAGACGAGAGATGTCTCAAGCTGTTTCAGGTTTTTGAGACTTAATGTTATAAACAACAACAGCTGCTGTTACATATTCATCACATTCATTTAGCTGGTTAACTGACTGGCAATGAGAGTAAAGGAGGGAGACGAGAGATGGAGAGATAGAACAGACAGAGACCTTATTCAGATTTTAACAGTCATGAAATGAAAAAAGGGGGCAACACATTTGAATTTCTGTAGTTTAGTACCCTATTTCTACTTAGTACTATATGCCCAATGGTATAGTATAGACAGTGTATTGTATGAAACCAACTGTAAATGCTATCATCTCTCTTCTCTTTCCTCCTTCCTCTTTGCTCTTCCTCTCTCCTTAAGGGTGTTTTCACTCTCTGATTCATGCTGAGTTAATTTTAATCACCAGATTTTGCATTTACATTGCAAAACAACCTGCTACCTTACACTGAGGCTGCGAGCAAAGCTGTGCTGACTTGGGTTCGGCACCGGTGACTCAGACTGTTGACGGATTGTCAGGGGATTTGATACAGAATTAGCATGTATGTATGCTATGTATGTATGCCGTGTCACTGCCTTCTCTAGAGCCAAGGATCAACACAGTCACCACAGAACAACAAATCACTGAACAAAGTCCTTAGAGCACAAGCTCTCGTGGATCTCAGTGGAGACAGTAGGAGTGTGTTACCGCATGGCTACAGCCAGCAGGATATATAAGACTAGTGTATTCATAAAGTTAGTTGGATGTCTGTCTTTTTAAGCAGCAGGTAGCTCAATTATCTTCTTACTTGGAATATAAGATGGGTCAATTCTCTCTGACCAATCAGCAGTCTGCTGTGTTTTAACTCCACCTTCTTGTATTGGCTCAGCTCGCTTGGAATTTTAATTTTGATGGTATCAAAAGAGTACCAGGTACACTGTTAATACATTTGGTTATGGCCATACAAATATAAGAAATGCGGCCCACTTGAGAGTTGTTGAGATATTTCAGTCTTCATTGAGGGGGGGACAGACAACCTGTCAGTTACTAATATTATTTCGGTTCCGACTCAAAATCCATTTTGAGTCCAATAACTCTGCTTCATTCATTCCATCCCAGTTAAAGGCTGTCTCTCCAGTGCTTCATTACTTTCAGGTTAGGGTCCCATCACGCTCTTATAATCCCAGTCCCGTTCCACTACTGTTGCTAGGTTACCCCCGATTCTGTCCCAGTTGATCAGTAGACATTTTCCTCTGCCTCTGTAGCCTCCCAGTTAAAACAGAAGTGCAGACAGTTGTCTGTAACCACAAAATCAACACTTTGGCTCTTGCCAAGACATGAATCCTAGCGTCTCAGCGTGATGCCAGACGGACAATGTTTCCGCCACAACACACTCAGGGACATTTAGAGGCTCTTCTCACATTCACTAAACATCAACTTTTGTCATCAGGGACTCTCTACAGCTCCTCGTACCAAATCAGACCACTTCCATCTGGTTTGCTGTATCTCTCTCCTGGCAAAGTGCCAATTCATTCATGCAGCTCCTATATGTTTCCACTGACACCCCTTCTCCTGTAGTGGAGTCACACACAACCATCCAGAGACACAGTACGTTGTGTATACCATTTGACCATAGAATTGATTATATTAACAAAATAAGTGTTAAGGGATTGCAACAGACTTGAGATGGGTCTAGATTGTCTTAATTTATATGCTTAGTTATAGACAAATCCTTAAGTGAACAACGTGTTCAGAAGGTCGCCTATAATTCTTATAGTTCTTTTTTTATATAATGGTAATCCAGGAATTTCTTTATAGACACGTTTAAATCATGTAGAGCACCATGTTACACCCAAAACAGGTACTGCAGTAAATCTAGCTCAGTCTCAGAGGTAAGTTCTTATCCAACGTCCCCAGCACTTGAATTAACATGCAAATGAATACTTCATGAGTCATGAATTTACCTACATTAATCTCGGGGAGATATAGAGATAGAGAGATGGAGAAAAAGAGAGAGTTTGTTGAAGCCTGAGGCGGCAAACAGAGAGAGAAGAAAACAGACGAGAGGAGTGGATAGAGCATCGATGAGAAAGAGGAGGTCAAGATAGAAGTGTATACACACTCGGGTGTGTACTGGATCTGTGTGTGTACGTGAATATACATATATGTGTGTGAGACATGCCTGCAGGCTGTGTTTTTAGAGAAGGGGGACAGCAGTGTGTGGTATTGGGCCACAGAGGAGCTTTACTCACTGTCAGCCTGCAGGCCTCAACACACACACATCCACACGTGCGCGCACACACACACACACACAATTCTATCAATGACTGCAGTAGCCCACCCAGGAGAAAGTATTTTCTTAAACACACAGCCTACTTTTACTCTCCCATCTGCTAGCGTAATCTCTCTGGGAGATATATCATCTCCCAATATTAGAATACATAAATCCAGAGTGCTTTTCGTTTAGCCTGTGTAAGCTTTAGCCTGGAGAAGCAGCCTTTCACACGTTTAAAGGGGCCCTATCATGCTCATTTTCAGGTGTCATATTTCTCATATAAACCCTTGATCAATGATCATTAAGCTTAATTAATAATTATCATCCACTCTTGATTTAACACATTTTAGCTTAATTGATATGATATGTATATGTTAGCGTGGTGTTTTGCCATAGTTACACAAACTGTAACCAAGGATAATTATTAATAACCTTTTGTCAAATGTCAGACCTGTGGGGGTGTGCGTTAGAAAATCGAATCGAATGTTTGAGTGAATTATTTGTGTGTATTTCCAAAGTGTCTTTAATGCTCACATCTCAGCATATGTGTGTTACTAGGGACAGCAAGCTGACCATGTTGCTAAGGGAGTCGCTAGGCAACATGAACTGCCGGACCACCATGATTGCTCACATCTCTGCCTCACCCAGAGATTTCTCTGAAACGCTTTCCACCATCCAGATTGCTTCCCGCGTCCTCCGCATGAAAAAGAAGAAAACTAAAGTCACAGTGGTGAGTTCAAACCTTGATGCTTCATTAACCTTTGAAGATAGTCTCTCTTTATCCCATACAACTTTTACTTGTGGTACATTTCATTCGATAGACTACCACTGTGATGCTCTAAACAGATGGACATGTAACTGTTGTAAATCAGTGCGAATCTCCATTAAACATCCTGTTCAAATCGTCTTATTTGAGGTGCATTTCATTATCTCCTATCACTTTCCATCACATGTGCTGCTGACACCTTTCTTCACACTTCACTTCAAATGCTCACTTATTTCAGAATTGTTCCACTGAAAAAAAAGGACAAGGGCTTCAAGGCTCTAAAAACAAAACTGGAGTGAAAGTGCCAGTCTGTGAAAGAAATAGGAATCATTTAATCTAAAAAAAAGTTCTTATCTGTAATCCGTTACTTGGTGCATGGCCAGGATCTACATGGATTTCATCCTCTCTCCTTCCTCTCCATCCTTTCCATCTCCCTGCATTGTGAACTGTCAATTAAAGGCAAAAAAAAGGAAAACATGCTCTGCAAATCTAAAAAGAGAGTCTTTTCTCTCTCTCACCTCCCACTCTGCCTCTTCCTCGCCTGTCTCTTCCCGTTTCTCAGCAGTACACGTCCAGCTCCTCTGGAGGAGAGAGCTCCTGCGAGGAAGGTCGCATGCGTCGACCGACACACTTGCGACCTTTCCATCACCGTGGCGACACCGACTCTGACCTTCCCTTGCTGCGACTGTCCAGCGACCCTGACGAATATTCGAGCAGCGAGCAGTCATGTGACACGGTGATCTACGTGGGTCCGAATGGAGCCGCGGTGTCAGACAGAGAGTTAACGGACAACGAGGGGCCGCCAGAATTTGTACCAATAATTCCTGCTTTGCTTCGAGGGAAAACATCAGAGCCGCTCCAAACACAGCCAGCTGGAGCCCAGAACAAGGTGATTTAAATATATTTACATTTAGACAATCAGAAGTAATCAGAAGAATGCTAGTTGCAAAGAAAGATGAGATTACTCCCGTCTCTGTGATTTCAGCTCCAACAGGTGGAGCCAGAGGAGCCGGGCCCCCCCCCAGCCTCAGCCCTCTCTGCTGGGGCAGCCACTGGCCCCCGTCCCAGAGGAGGCAGCTGAGTGCCTGAAGTGCAACACATTTGCTGAGCTGCAGGAGAGACTGGACTGCATCGATGGCAGCGAGGAGGTGAGGAGAATCTTCAACAACAACTAAATACACCAGAGAAGAGGAAGAGAGGCTGTGTTGAAGTTTGACATGTTGTTTGAAAACTATCTATTCAAATGGGAAAAGAGTTTTCTCTCCATCTGCTTAATATTTTCAGCATGTATCTGCATAACCTCCTGCTTGCTGTGACAGTTTGTAATTACGGTGGCGTTTTCCTTTCTCTTTAAAAAAACATTTGCTCTCAATTGTGCGAAAAAAATGATGCATTTGAAAAGTATTTTTGTTGTCAAAATATGTAGTACGAGACTCGGTTCTTTGCATGTCACAATGTCTTTTAAAGTTGTAATGTGCATTTTTAACATCCAAATCAATCCATCTCAGGTTTTATGATATGAATAATGTGGCATTTCTTATCTTTGAACACTTAAATATATTATTAACATTTTAAACTGTATACCCCGGTTATCTAGGCCCTTTGTTTTGTTTAATGTATACCATGTTTATCTAGGCCCTTTTTGTTTTTGTTTGATGTATATATGTCACACTGTAGGACTGCGGGAAACGAGATTTCGAGATTTCTGGATGTACAACATGTAGAATTCTTGACAATAAAGCTGACTTTGACTTTTTTGACTTTTGACTTTGACTTACCTGTCCCTTTATTCAGGTTGCAAAGTTCCCATTTGAAGAGGTTTCAGCGGGCAAACCAGGCCCAACACAGGAGCCATGTCCATCTTCAGCTGTCCCATCTGCAGCTGTCCCATCTGCAGCTGTCCCATCAGCAGCTGTCCCGTCTGCAGCTGTCCCGTCCTCAACTGTCCCATCCTCAACTGTCCCGTCCTCAACTGTCCCGTCCTCAACTGTCCCGTCCTCAACTGTCCCGTCCTCAGCTCCCGCTGCGCCTGGCTCTGCTGCTGCGTTGGATACAGAAGCCAAAACAGGTACATTCCTTTATTACACATACCAAACATACATTATATATTAAAGCAAACAGAAACGGGTGTACATTTGTATTAAACAATGCAGCATCAAGTCAGGTCTCATTTCACAGTTATTGCAACCTTTGGGATTTAGAAACAAATCTTCTGTCCGTCGCCCACAGGCTCTGCTGCAGGAGGCGCAGTGCAGTTCTTTTCCTCGACAGTAACCACTTCCAGGAGGAGGACCAATGACCAGCAGCTGCAGGATATTAAGGAGGTGGTGGAGGAGGCAGAGCTGGCCCAGACCATGATCCACAGCCTGGCTCAGAGTTCTGGTTCCCCCATAGTAACGAGCACCAGGAGCGTCACAGGGAGCAGCTGCATCACCTCGAGCCCCTTGCACAGGACCAAGAGCTGCATGCATGACAGGTGAGGATGGGTGTCTTTTCATTAGAGGGAGCACTTTTTCATGCATATTTTGCTATTAGCCTTTGGAAAATGTTTAAATTGAATGTATGTCTTCTGTATTGTGTCTCTGACCAGCCATGAGAGTCTGAATATGGGCACTGATGGGAAGGCCCGTCCATTGGGATCACCGCGCCTCGGCATCGCCAGCCTGACCAAAACCTCAGACTACAGGTAAAGTACACAGAAATACTGTGGGCTAATAACGTGGACTTTGAACTACAGTTTTTTTGGAAGATGTCTAAAATGTTACATGTATTGCTTACATAACTAAATGAAACCCTCAGCAACCAAGAATCTCACTAACAGTCCAAAAGGGTAAAAGGACAACAGCTTCAAAGACCAGCTTGAAAATGTTTGATCCTCTTATCTCTCCTCAGGCCTCCGTCCTCCCCGTCCCAGCGCTGTAAAGTGTACACCCAGAAGGGGGTGATGCCGGCGACTCCTCCTCTGTCCTCTTACACTCTGGCTCAGGATGGCCAGGGCACAGAAGTGTTGACCTCCGACAGTATGTATATCTTTTTATCTAGAATTGAGTATTTTAATGTTACTTCTTCAGACTTACTGATGCATTAACAGTCTGTGAATGGGCATCCTAACACGCATGTCTTTCCTGCAGGTAATGTGGTGGCTGTTTTATGCCAAAACCATTACATAAATGTGATATAGTCACATACTGAGTCACTTGTGCACAACACAGATAATCATAATAACCAGCGGGTCCAAATTATAATCATAGTGTGAAGCCAATTTCCTTGTTTTCTTCCCTTGGACAACAAATGTAATGATGGTGCCAAATGTGTTTCTGATTCTTCAGACAGTTTGGCTGCAGACAGCGGCCGCTCCTCCACGGACTCCATGCTGTCCAGGACTTCTCCGGTGGGCATGAGTCCACAGGTCCGAGAGCCAGCTCAGTCTCTGTCCGCCAGCCTGGGATCAGCAGAGACGCTCTGTGACGACGACGTCCCTCCGATCCCCCTGGACACGCTCAGAGATGGTGAGGGTCATGGCTATGAGAGCAAGAGAGCAGGATATGAGTCATATGAGTCCTATAGAAAGAAAGAGAAGGAATTATCACGACAAATATTGTATGAACAACTGTTTTTCCTCTGTTTTCTCCTCCACTTGAAGCCTCAGGGCTGGCACTATCTGTAGGAACAGTTGGACCTCTGTCGCGCGGGGAGGATGAACTGATGTATGCTGTGGTTTCTGGAGGTGAAGAGGACCTTGTTGTTACAGCTATAATGGACACTCAGGATCTGACCTGTCGTCCAACGAGCATCATGAGCTTCAAGAGCGACTGCTGCTCCGTCACTTCCCTCGCCTCGGGCCACGGTTCTGCTGAGGGTGGAGCTGTGGAGGATTATCACGTGCCTGCAGGGTCTGCAACCACCTCAGGGGTGGCAGAGGTTAGTGGGACCGACTCACATTTACAGCAACTAAGGAAATTAACATGTGGACATCTGTCCTTACCTAAAACATATGTCCTCGCTATGGATTTCAAGATATTTTGACTGTAAAAAACAAACACATAACAATACCCACCAAAACAAAGACTTAAGATAAGGGTTCTGGATCCATCATTGCTGCAACTGAAAACGAATGGGAAATGTTGTCTCATTTCATTGGCCCGATTGACACAGTGACTCCATTTTTGGTGTCTATAAACTAATAATTTAATCGACAGTTATAGTATGATAAAATGTCTACCTTTTTAATCCGAGTTTAGATTACAATTCCCATATGATAGACTTTTTTCTTTAAGTGTTCTAGATAATCTGGATGCTTACAGTTACATCACATTTAGTTTGCTGCGTTGATGAATCACACAGTATTTATTATCTTCCATTAGGGTTTCAACAACTTGTAAATTATTCGATTGACAGAAAAATAATAGCCAAGTACTTGGGTAACTAATTGATCAACAAAGTATTTTTTCATGTAAAAATGGTTTTAGACATTTAAAGATGGTTTATTTCAATGAATAATAATAATATTTACAAAAATAATCTTTAGATGCCAAAATGTACAAAATAAAACCCAATGGCTGCCCTTTTTTTACTACATCGTTGTTATCAAGCAACCTTGTCCAATTGAGTTGCATCCTGTTGCAGGTGGCCATGGCCAAGCTGCGGATCGAAGGTGAAGCTTTAGCCACAGTGATATCATGCTGTGGTTCACCCATTTCCTCCTGGATGAGTGACCTGAGCATGGCCAGTGAGGCGGACCAGTCCCTCCACAGCTTCAGTCAGTCCCAGAGCCAGCAAGGGGAGGCCCTGGCTGAACCTGAGCCCGCCCAGAGCCAGGTGCTCGGGGCGGAGGGGCCGGGTGGGTACGAGAGCTGTGGCAGCCCGAGAAGAGGGAGTCTGGACGGAGAAGTGGTCCTGTCAGAAAACACGTGTGATAAGGCAACCCCAACGAAAGACAGGCGGAGGAAACTGCCTCCCTCCATGGCTAAAACTAACATCCAAATCCTGGCCGGACCGGGGTACTTCTCCCCCTTCAAGCCCAGCATCAGTGTGCACCCCTGTGTGGCTGTCAAACCCATGGTCATACAGGAATCAACCATCCTGTCTTCACCCACCAAGACCAGCCTAATGAAAGACAAATTCACTGCACCACTTCTAGCTTCTATTTCCAGTGATATGAGCTTTGAGGACCCCTGGTTGAAGCGTGGCATGGAGGAGAGGAAGTCCAGGGAGCTGGTGTGTGAAGTGAAGCCGGAGAAGAGGGAGGTCGAGCTTTCAAAGAGCCAGACTGGAGCTGTGACAGGAGACCAACGAGGGTTCTGCAAGGATGGTAAGAGGGCCAGACCAGATTTTATTTCAGGCCAGGAATCTAACATCAGGCAAGGCCAGTCTCATTCAGATATTCACAACAGACCATATTTGTAACACTTTATAATAACCATCATAAACAAAAGGTCAATGGATAGTATATTAACAATAATTATTAGATACAGTATGTTACTTTTAAACAAATACATGTTAATAAATAATATTCATATTATTAGTACATCTATAAGTGACAAAGGCTTGAAAAATGATTGTTTTTGTAAATGTTAGTTTTGAAACTGCCATCTCTTTACAGCTCTTACTAAAGATATTGATGATCAACTTTGGTAGCACTAAGGAAGTGGAGGTATTTCCACCTGAAAAAAACGATTATAGAGGTCTTCTGTCTTTGTTGACGCCAGTTGGGCCTGATGGAAAATAATGTTGTTTTCAGGGAAAATATTTGCAGGATTAAGTCTGTGTTATTTCTATTCTTCCATCACCAGGTGGTTATCGTGGCGGCTGTAGTCCAGGTGTTGAGGTTGTGTCGTCTCCAGATTCCTTTAAGAGGGTGGTGGACGGCTGTGAGATGGTGGTGGTCGCTCCTCAGGGAGAATGCCTGACTGGTTTCTACAGCCCAGACGTCCACCGTACAGCCAGCCTCCCCCGCGGCTGGCACCGCCTCAACCGCCACGACGGCCTGGACATTTGGGACGGAGTACCGCAATCTTGGAGTCACCTCTTCCACTCCCTGCAGTCCCAGAGCCACACTTGACCGCAGAGGATCAACTGGGAAACAGGGCTTTTTCTCCCACAGGAAGGGGGGGATCCCACCTCTGCCACCGATAAGGAAGTCCAGTCTCGACAGAGGAACCGAGCAGTCAGCCCTCTCCCCCAGCCCAGCTATGGAGGCTTGTTTCTGGGCAGCTCAGCAGATGATGCAGAGATCTCCAGACTACGAGGCTCCAGCATAGACAGCAGCAGACTTTTCAGCGCCAAGTTGGAACAGCTTGCAAACAGAACCAACTCTCTGGGTCGGGTGAACAGCTCCCACAGTGGATCCCACCACTATGACTGCTTCTCTCTGGAGAGAGGGGGGAGCCTGAGAGGGGGAGGAGGAGTAAAGGGGGACAGCACCATGCCTCGTACTGGGCGCAGCCTGACCCGGGCTGGATCAGTATCTTCTCCCACTGGAAACGCTGGCAGCCCCGGTTTCAGCGCCAGTCCCAGCAGCGCCCCGCAGTCACCCGCCAAATCCAGCTGCCAGTCAAAGATCTCAGCGGTCAGTAAGCTGCTGATGACCAGCAGTCCCAAAACCAGGAGTCTGTCTTCGTCCAGCACCAAAACGCTGAGCTTCTCCACCAAGTCTTTGAGCCAAGCCTCCAGCCGCAGCTCCAGCCTTCCCCCTATTGGAAAGGTAGGCAGGAACATTTATTTCTTGGAGATAAGACTGTTTACAACATGACTCAACTCATCAGACTAGAAGAGTGGATGAACTTTAATGACCTCTTCCTATTTTGGCAGTTTTTAAATCAATAACTCAATGCATGTAATTCAAGTCGTCATGGTCTCATTGTCTTCCATCCATCTAAGCTGTTTATCTGTTTCCTCAGCCCCAGAGCTTGGTCCCGCCCACTCCTCAGCCGCAGCAGCAGCAGCAGCAGCAGCAGCCGCAGCAGCAGCAGCAGCAGGGACCCTCCCCTGTGTCCTGGTCCACCCAGTCTCTGAGTCGCAGCAGGGGGGTAAGCCTGTCTGCCAAGCTGCCTCTCCGGGCTGTCAACGGTCGAATCTCAGAGCTCCTCCAGGGAAGTGCAGGCTCTCGTTCCAGGAGTCATGCCCAGGGAGGAGGCACTGATCCAGCAGAGGAGAGAGGAGCTGCAGGGGCAAGGTTAGTCAGTTTAACTTTTACTTACCTTTTAAAGCATTAAGTGTGATATCCTAAAGTAAATTATTCAAAGTGCAAGACTATTAAATAACATCATTACAGTAAAGTGGTAGTTTTAGACAGTACACACCATTCATGTGTCATATGAATATCATCAATTCCAGAGCTGGCATAACAATTTCCTCAGGATCTCATTCTCTCTGCTCCACTGTCAATGTTTCATCTAAAAAGGCAAAATTCCATTAAAATGTAGTAAATTAATAATTTGTTCATGGATTAAACTTATATATGTTTCTGTTCTCAGTGGAGGGGGAGCTGTAGCAGTAAGTGGGGGTAGTGGTGGAGGTGCAGGTGGAGGTGCAGGTAGCAGCGTGGGGGGGGAGGAGAAGGCAGCCGTGGTCCAAACGCTGCCCTCCCCCTACAGCAAGATCACAGCGCCCAGAAAGCCCCAGCGCTGCAGCAGCGGCCATGCGAGCGACAACAGGTATGATCTCAAGTTCATTTATAAATGTGAACATTTAGATGTCACATTTTGCTGCTTCACTTACTTAACTGTGATCTGACCCTTACAGCAGCGTACTGAGTGGAGAGCTCCCCCCGGCCATGGGGAAGACGGCCCTGTTCTACCACAGCGGGGGCAGCAGCGGCTATGAGAGCATGCTGAGAGACAGCAGCGAGAACACAGGAAGTACGTCCTCCGCCCAGGACTCCCTCAGTGAGCACAGCTCGGCCACCACCTCCTCCAGGCGGAGCTCCAAGAGCAGCAAGAAGAGCAGGAGCAACACAGGTCACTATTTAACGTTGTATTATTTGCTTTATGATATTTCCCTGTAACTGGATTATGGAGTTCCATGTAGGATGGCAGGAGAGGCATTTTAAATTGAGTGCTTACTATTTGTTTATAGAGGGGAACATTTGCCTTAATCAGTAGAGCTGAAGCACCACTCAAAATAGATATGACAAAACTATGAGTGCGATTTCAATAACACTTGAAAGTCATGGACCTATAACAAATAAAGGCAATACCAGCACAGTTTTCATGGTTAGTTTTCAAAAAAAGAATTAACATCCCAATTACTGAACACAATCAAAATAACAAATCCAAATATGAACACTTCAGCTCTACAAATTTAAATGTTTTGTGTAATGAAATCTTTAGAGGTGAAAGCTTTGACCCAATGTGATCAGAAGGCAGCTAAATAAAAAAGAAATGAAGATATCATTGATACAAATCGTTGCCAAAGACCTCTGTGACGAGAATTCATTGGCAAAAATGCACAATGAGAAAGCAATGAACAGGTCAGGGAAAAGTGAAGGAAGCTGCAGCTGCTAAAGTAGGTTGCAGGTAGGAAAGGTGACCCTGACCACTCATCTGTGAAATGGTGAGGGGAATCTGCGGGTGGTGGGCTGTAATGAATATTATATTCAGCCCGAACAGCCACCACAGAGGCTGCTAGTGTGCCCGTCAAATTACACTCTGCTGGTTAACCACGAGGATGGATATGCGCATAAAATCAGATTGGACAGACGCAGCAACTTCTGGTGTGGTCTCTGATTGTTAATTAAAATTGGAGTAACCATTTCCACCCATGTGTGTAGATACGCAGCATCAAATCTGGATTTACTCTCATTTCCCTTTAAACTGCAACTGATTCTGCTTCAAAGAGAGCTTCGCTGTCAAACTGTCGCAGGACTACAGGAAGGATTACCCGTGTTTTTGCACATGTTTTAGATGTATGCAGAAATTCTGTCGTAATTGAGGAAGTCAAAATATAAAAAGTAAGAAGGGACAGATGTGACGCAGACTAAATAAATGTGTAAAGATGTGACCGAATTGTAATCACATCTCTCGAGGAGAGTCTGCCTTTACGCTTGATTTCCATTAGATTGGATTCACTAATGCTCTCTCAAAATGTCCACCATGTCTCTACCTTTCCTCATCTTTTTTCATATTGCTCTCCCCTTGCATATTCTCCACCCTGCAGACTTTCATTCTTTCTCCTCTTATATTCCTCTTCCTACCAGGTAATGAAATACAAATGTTCCTGCTTGACCTTTCTGTGCCACAATGAAACCCAAAGACAGCTGCAACCCTATTCAAATCCCCACTTTCCTCACACACCTTATCTCTCAGTTCCCGGTGAATCTGATAACTCTCATTCCTACATGGCTGGCCATTTTTATGCAAAGCGTGTATGCATGTATGAGTGTGTGTGTTCATTGTAGCGCAGTGGGCAGATTAGAGAGTGACCTGCTGCTCTTATCTGTGAGCTTCATGAAATGACTCAACTTTTTATCTGGCTTCACACTCCATTATCTGTTTCTGGTTCCCTTTCTGCTTTTTCAATCACTCAATACCTTTCTTTAGTCCCATCCTTTCTCCCTCCCTCCAGCGATTCATCCATATCCTCTCTTTCCTCTACCACCCACCATCTCTTTTCTCACCTTGCAATATTCTGCTTTTAAAAATCCATGTGTTCTATCTAATGTAGTTCAGTAGTAAATGTAAATGCTACAGCAGTTTGCATGGTGTAGCAAACATGTTTATGGTTAATACAAATGTCTATTTAGTCAGTTGAAAGATGGAGTTTTACTGAATATTCGATGAGGAATAGACACTGACAAATGCACGAAGATGCACTTGAAGAACATTTTTGAAATACCTATTTTTCAGATTTATTTGACATATAATGATTATATTAAACAACACTCAATTCATGAAAATGAGAGTTGAATGGCTCCAGTATATTGTGTTCCTAAACTGTTTGATCAACTCTGGGGGTTTAACAATGTTTTATTGTCTTATTTCTTCTCGCAGGTCTGCAGCGTCGTCGTCTGATCCCAGCGCTGACCTTGGACTCTTCCTCCTCCTCACCCTCTCACCGCTCCTCCAAGCAGGCCGTCACTTCATCTTCTTCGTCCTCCTCTAGCCCAGGTGCATGCTGGGTAGATGGCCCACTGGGGCCCCCGGCTCCCTCAAACCTCCGGGGCCCGGCTGCCACGACAGAAACCTTCGAGATCAAGGTGTACGAGATAGATGACGTCGAGCGACTGCAGAAGAGGAACAAAGGAGGGAGCAAGGTGAGAGAGGAAGCAGTTGGAGAGGAGGAAGGAGAGAGAGACTTAACCTACTGCAGCTGAAGCATTGATTTTAATGTTTACAACCTTTTTATTTGGGCTTTAGTTTGTAAAGTGTATCCACCTGAAAGAAAATGCAGAAAGGATGTTTACAAACCCCCCTCCAAAAATACACCTTTTCACCAAATATCTCCCCATATTGTTGCGGTTGTTAGCATTTAGATGGCTCTAGTTGAACCAGAGGCTGTTTTTACAGGCTGTACAAGTCAAGGAGGATGTGACTTTGTGAGTAATTGGACTAAAATGTCTTTCATTTCATTTCAATTCAAACCTTTATTTAACCTGGTCCCATTGAGATCATAGATCTCTTTTTCAAGGGAGACCTGCAGCATATAGGTTCCACATGAAACATAAAACAATAAAGGACATCATACATTATATTTACAGGATACATTTACATAGTTAACATAGTCTTATCCTAAATGAGAAAAAAAAACGAATTTACATACATAAAATAACATTTAAAGGTGGGGTAGGTCATTTTGGAGAAACCAGCTCGAGATCGCTAGAATTTGAAAATACACAACCGGAAAAAATCTGCCACTTCCTTACAGAGCCCCTCCTCCAACACACACGAACGCCTCATGACCAATGAGGGCACGAGATAAGTTTGTGCACAGATGGAAGGCTGACAGGCAGGTAGGCCATCCAGTTATTTTAGCCGGGCCGGCTCAGATGATTGGTCGTGCTTTTTACAGTACTACGGCTTCCACAGATGACATTTTAATGTATTTATTGTCAAAGCATTTAATATATTCATTGCTATCGGGATGTTAAGAGCATTCCATGGAATATAACACAAAGTGTTTCTGAAATAAATTACATACTCCACCTTTAAGGGCGTATGGGAAAAATAAGGCTAGAAAAAAGGGGAAAGGAGGGATAAGAAGAGTAACAGTGTGAAATACTGTGTTGAAGAAAGGGGAGAAAAGCAGGAAAGGGTTAAAGAAAGGAGAACGTGTGTGAGGAGAATATACCGTATGGAGGCAGGGCGAGGGGGAATGAGGAATGGATGTGTGAAGAGAATTAAAGAAGGTGGAGAGCAAAGGAGCAGAGAGAGGCCCAGAGGGCAGCAGGCATATTGCACTTGATGTCAGAGAAATTGATTTGATGAATAACAGTTGTGGGAGACATTAAAAAGCAATAAGGGTTCTGTTGGACACTGTTGCTACAGGAGGAAGCTGGAGAAGAAGAGACAGGGACAAAGGAAGCAAAGGGATCTCAGCTGTTGGACGTATTTGTCTATAAGGATTACAGCAGTGTAGACTTTTCACAAAATGAATGAATCAACATTAGCCCTGCGTTCTGAATAGTGAGCTTTTCTTTTCAATAAATCTACATTATTCATCCCTCTGCGGTTCTTCATTGTAGAAGTTATTCATAAAAAATCCCTAGATTTAGCAGAATACAGAGAAGTATTGTGAAACTCGTAAAATTGCAAAAGAAATGCATGGTGCCGGTTTCTGTGTCTCCACTCTTAAACCTGTATGTATTCAGAGGAGGGGGCACTGTGAGCTTTGGGGAAAGTGTGGGAGAGAAAAGCATGAAATATAGATTTTCCCTACAGCAGGTCGTAAGAAAGCCACTTAGCCCCCGACTGCTCCAGTGAAGCTGCTCGGTGTCCGCGAGGCTCGATGAGGTGTGAATGTATGAGACTGTGTGAGTGTTAATGCTAAAAGAGAGCCACATGTGTTTCACAACACACTCTACCCAAGATAAATAGGTGAATAAAATCCACATCATCCTGTCTGTCCTGTGTGTGTGTCAGGAGGTGGTGTACGTCAGTGCCAAGCTGCGGGTGTTGGAGAACCGTCAGCAGAGAATCACTGAAGTCAGAGCAAAGTACCAGTGTCTGAAGAAAGAGCTGGAACAAACCAAGCAGCACCTGATGCTGGAGCCGCACAAATGGACCAGCGAGTGTAAGTAGCACTCTGACACAACAGGGAGAGAGAGTGTGTGTGTGGTGTGTGTGTGTGTGTGTGTGTGTGGTGTGTGTGGTGTGTGTGTGAACTAATTGACTGGGTATGGTACTGGGTTCAGTAGCTTTTAAGCTCAAATCTTTCTTGCCTGTTGTTGAAATTGAAAAGCATTCAAATGTTGTGTGTTTGTTTGGTTAAAAAGCTTGGGAATAACTCTTATAACACCTATTTTGTATAGCATAACAATTTGCTGTCTAAAAGGAAGTGAAAGGCTGGTTTAATTCAATATTTTTCATCATGTAAACAAATCCAATGAAGACACCAAGACCAACAAAGTCTTAGTCCCATTCAACAACTACTTTTCTAATCTGTTTGTGGATCGTGGAGCCAAAACCATTGGATCCATCCAAATGTTGAAGTGTAGTTCTCGCTCATTTGCCGGGGAATATATCCAGCTGCAGATAACACAGTTGTTGCTTTTGTTAGTTATTTATGGACACATGTGTAGGTGGTATTAAATCAAAATAACCTCTGTGTTCATTGTAATGAATAATCATGTCATGCAGTGCAGTAGCATGGCTCATTGATGTGGAGGAATACTTTCAGGCTTTGGATACACAATGTCAGGGTTCTTGTAAGTACCGAGTGATAAATGAATCGTTGGTTTTGGTGTTTCAATGGAATTTGCTGACAGTAAGAAAGATCACCAGACTTTTGAAATCAGTAACTCATAATCAAAGTATAACAGTGGGTTTCAACGTCATATCTCTGCCTGTATTTCCATGTGCAGTTGAGATACAGCCGACCCATGAAGTGGACTCTCTGGAGTATTTGGAGGCTCTGGAGACCGTGACGGACAAACTGGAGACTAGAGTCAACTTCTGCAAATCCCACCTGATGATGATCACCTGCTTCGACGTGTCCTCCAGAAACCGGTAGACGATGGAGGGACGGAGAGCTGGAGGAGAGAGAGACGCAGACACAGCTGGACTCAATTAGACTCACCCTTTCCCCACCAATAACTCAAACAACTTAATATCTTCTTAATGGATATTATTGAATGGTTGGAAGAAGGATACAGGGGCGGACCGACCTCTCATCCTCCTCCAGATGTAAGTAGCAGAAGGACAGAGAGATGGAAGAAATAGAGATATTTACAGATATTTAACAGACCAGCAGACAGATACGTTTATAGATTTTTTTCTTCTTGGGGCTTGAAAAAAAACCACCTCAGAAATAACCTTTGAACAGCATCTATTGAACGGGCTACTTTGAACCAGATGAATATGGCTGAAGCGGATATATGGCTCTGGGTCTGAAAAGAAAGATCAAACGTAACCAGGACAAGTGAATAATTAGACACCTCTAAGACTGAGTCGAACATTTGGGAATGTATGGAGAGGAAAGGAGTCGAGAAAGGAACAAAAAAACTGCCATTTTTTTCTAAACAAAGCCACAGAGGAGAAGAACAATTTCTCCCATCATTTTAGAAGAGCACTTTTTAGGTTACGCAGTTGAGAGCCATTGACTGCAGCATGGTCTGGTATTGTTGTGCAGTTAATAATGAGAAAATGACCAAGAGAAAGACAGGAGGACAAAGGAAATGATTTAGATAAGTGCCTTGTGAACAATTCATCAATACCAATTCTATTTCTCACTGAATTTGTGTACTTGCAGTAAGTATGGTGCTAGCATAGAAAAAAAGACCACAAAAGATCAGTGTCCTTGGAAAATCTTTGAAACTATAGCAATCTTTGAATGTGATGTTGAAGGGTCGATGTTTCACTATATCATAACCAATAGTGTATGTTTGTATGGTCTTTGGTACACTGATGAGAGGTGAGACTAAACTGGATCCCTAACTAAAATAGACCTACAAAAGATGGACATGGACACATTGTCTTTTTTTAAATGGTGCAAGGACCAACAATCCCATAACAAAAAAAGTACATGATTTTTCCAGGACACAGAGAAATGTGTGTTTAAAATAAGATAAAAAAAACACTAGTTTCTTGTGCGGTTGTTTTTGACTTTCCCCACAAACAGAGCACATCTGAATTTTGACCCTCTGGGGCTTACATACAGCATGTCTCCCCTGATACAGATGTGATGGCTTGTTCATGTTCACAAAGCAATGAAACGTCTGAGTCACACAGGAGAGGAAATGGAAAGGAGCTTTCTCTGCTCCAGTGTGAAGTTCATCCATCGAGTGTCGGACTGACTGACACGCAGACCGTCTGTTATTTGTATCCGTGTTGTTCTGCTCTATTCTAAAAGAAATGAATGATTTGTCAACGTGTGTGTTTTATATTAAGGTTTTCTTTTTTTTATTGAGTGCAATGGACCACGTAGAGAATATGTATTTTAGAAAGAGAATACAAAAGACAAAATTGTGAGGAAGATAATTATACTTCTTAAAACCTGTATTATTGGAACAAAGTATAGTGAATTAAAGAATGACTCGCTTGGAACGACAATAACAAATGGGCTTTTTATATAGTTCCAGTTTGTCTTTTATTTAAAGGAGACAGACTTTAGAAAAGAACAATTTAAAATAAATATATAAAGGACTGAAAGAGAACTAAAGAAAAGGAGGGTGACCAAATGAAAGGCATAGATCTCTGCCTGGTTCCATTTTTTTGGACGCTAGCAACAATTTGTTAATATTATTATCTATGGTGCTTGAGATGTTTATGATCTAAATGTTTGTACAAATATAAATATAAAAAAGAGCCTGTTTCCCTCCAGAACCATACCCTTCGAATGCTTCTTCTACATCGCTGTCCTCACGTCACGTCTGTCCTCACGTCACGTCTGTCCTCACGTCTGTCCTCACATCTGTCCTCACGTCACGTCTGTCCTCACGTCTGTCCTCACGTCACGTCTGTCCTCACGTCTGTCGTCACGTCTGTCCTCACGTCTGTCCTCACGTCACGTCTGTCCTCACGTCTGTCCTCACGTCTGTCCTCATTCTCCCTCTGAACGCCTTTAGCCTGCAAGCAGAGAGCATTCTGGGAGATCCTGTTTGTTGTCTGAGAGGTAAAAAGAGAAAAAGAAACCGACTGCAAAGATATTGGTATAACTTGTCAAAAGCATCGTGGTGCTAAAAGTATCTTTTTCCAGATACAGGAAATGATTTTTAACGTCATTACAACAGTCTTTCCTTTAATTTGCTGTACACCTTCAGTGACAGCATATGGATAATGATGCGGGAAATCAACCCTGAAACTGAGATGCTTTTGACAGACTGGACCTAAGAAGCGATTTCACTCGAGGTGAGGGAAGGAGCCCTGTTTCACCTCCTGCGAACGCTTCCTGTTTTTATCTCCCAGATCCCCCTGCCAGTCATGAATGAAGGTTTATTTATTTGAGCTCAGGAGAGAGCAGCGTCGCTTATCAATGTTCTTATTTATTTACACCTTATGATCTTAAAAGTTACTATGCATTTAAGAAAAAACAACTGTACATACTTTGCTGAGCCCATGTCATATATAAATATATATACTGTACACATATCATATATACACTCATTTTATTTTATATATTTTCTGTTAGTTTTGTTTGCTCCTGTGTGTTCCTGGTGGAGATTGAATGGGATTTGGGTTTCCTAAAACATCCAGGGTAGATGTGTTGTTCCAGACCAAAATGATCAGAATGTTTTCATGTCAGTATATAATACAGTATTATCTTAAGCCTTGTGAAATTTGCAGTGGATGTTTTGGGAACCCCAACCTGTAGATGAGCTAAATGGACGGTACTTGTTTCCAGATTTAAGATGCTATGTGTGAGGTTTCATCCTCGATGCTTCACTGCCAAATTTACTGAGGAAGCCCTTTATAATCCTAGCAATAATTGTAACGGCCCCATATTGTTTATAGCTACCATAATAGATCACATAAAGCTTTCAGAAATAAAAGCTTTTTCATCTGAAGAAACTGTGCTAAAAAGGGATCGCTCATTGTCAGGTGCTTTAAATAATTATCAACAAAATGGCATCTGTTTCATCAGGATTAGGGTATAAAACACTACAAGCACGCAGTCTAATGAACAACATAACTGTGTCCTGCTAGAGCGTGCAAGATGTATGTGTTATTTGGAAAACTTACACGTAGCATCTTTAAGATTTTAGGCAGAATTGTATGTTAAAGTATGGATCAGACCACATTTCCCACAAATTCATTTTATCTGTAGCAGTAAGAAATGTTTTAAGACAGAGGGGTTACAATCTCTACAAAACTGATTCAAACCAATTACTGTTTCAGTTTGAAGGGCAATCTGTTAAGAAGAAGAAAAAGGTATTTCCTATGAGATTTAGCCAGCGCTACAACACACTCAGTGCAAACCTGTGAATATGACGTGTCAGATTTTCACTGTGCACGTGTTGTTCAAATGATTAGAAACTACGATTATAATATGCTCTGCAGATTTACTGTTTCTGAGAAATGTGGTCTGACACATTGTGTTGATGGAAGAGCAAGATGGAGGGATGTAAATAAAGAAATGTATCGAAAGAGTTTTCCATCCGATTCTTCATTCTTTCAGGTTGAAATAGAACGAGCCAGACCTCCTGTCCAAAACTTAATGAAATGCCAACATTTTGGCATATTTAAAAGATCTCCTGAAAGATTGCTCACCAGCAGCCACTGAGAGGCTCTATACAACATACAAGTCATTCATACATTACATTATTACATTTCATGTTAGACGCTTTGGATAAAAGCGTCTTACATCAATACTAATCCCCACAGGAGCAATTTGGGGTGAAGTGTCTTGCCCAGGGACACAACGACATGCTGACTGCAATGGGGTTTGAACCTGTGCTCCCCTGATCCCAACACCAACGCACTAGACCACTGCGCCACAGCCTCCCTACATGAACACTATATAACAATTGTATCCATGCCAAAGAACATTTACGTCTCATTTATATAAATCTGAGGCCGCTGTTAACAAAGCACCTGGCAGAACAAGCAGGCTCTTTGTTCAGTGACCTTTTCACCAGCTTAACAACTTCTACTGAAATATAAAACAAGACATTTTACTCCACATTTTAATTAAATAAATAAGAGGAACATTTTATTTTGAGCTATATCCTCTAATGTTCAGGATCGCCTAGGATTTGTTTTTGTGTTCATGTGCAGCAGCCAAATGGTTACAGTTCGAGCTATGAGGAAAGATCATGTATGCGCACAATCTGATCTAAAGTTTCCTTCAAAAATGACATATCTTTCAAAAATATAATTATATAATATTTGTAAATGAAAAATATAGTGGAGCATTAAGAAACATTTTGGACATTACCATACTTCAAGGGAAGGTAATAGGCTTTTACATTGTGTGCCTGTTTTGTACTATCAACTATTTTCCTGTGTGTGTGTGTGTGTGTGTGTGTGTGTGTGTGTGCGTGTGTGTGTGTGTGTGCGTGTGTACCTTCAGTAGCCTGTAGGCTGCTTCCTAGGTGACATATTGCCCTGTTGAGCCGGCTTTGATCAGCCACGCACAGCAGGGAACAGGAAGGAGGTGAGGGGAGGCATGAGAGAGCAGGAGATAATAGATGAGAGAAGAGAGGATAATAAAGCTGGCACAAAGGGAAATGCAGGCGAAGAAGGAGAAAAAATGAGTAAAAGATTACATTTAAGGGAGAGACGTGTGGAAGAGCTGCTGGAGAAATGAGATGGGCGAGGTTAGGTAAGACACAATATGGAGACAAGTGGAAGTTCAGGTAAAAAAAGGAACACACTAAGACTCATTTTGGTCGAATAATACGCTATCATCGCTCAACAAATTGACTATTACTCTCTTTTCTGAACTCACCATACCCCTAGAATCATTTATCTCAGGCAAGAGTTTCTCAAGAGACTAATTTCCTTGCTATAATGTTCTCCGTTGTTGTTGCTGAGATTGGTTCCTGGTTTGATAATTGTCAGGTCCACTCAGCTTAAAATAGCCACTTGTAATCAGTTGTCTGTTTGGATTTAGATAACTTGTATACACTGCACTTAAAGGTTTATTCTTCATTTCTCTAATAAAACAAAATATGTATTTGTTCATCCCACTTACCTCTTAAATGTTAACATTTTATCTACTTCTATTTGATGTTTCTCTGTTATTATCAAGCAAACAGTTCAAGCAACTCAAGTTTGAAGCAGAAACACAGTAAGCAAAGCAAATGTTTTAAGATGGGTCACATTTAGAATGTAATTTACTTCTAACATGTAAAGAGATTTCACAACATGCAGCTAACTCTGTGAGAACATGAGTAAATCAACAAGTTAGCTGAACATGTTTAACTCAGTTTATTATAAGATGAAGATTAACATTTGAAAAAAACTAATAACATGAACTGCTTCATGAATTTGAGCAAAGGTAAATGCCAGTATTGCCATGGGCACAGTTTCAGCTGTGCTTCAGATTGTTGGTGTCTGCCAAGTAATACACACAAAGTTCATCTAAGGCTAATAAGAACATTTTAAATCACAAACCAAAGTCAAACAAATGGGACAAATTCAAAATGTGACTTTATGAAGCAGCTAAATGAGAGTGAAGTGGAAACCAATATGATGACAAATAATTCTGATGGGAATATTAATGTCTGTGCTAGATTATATGGCAACAAATGATATGGCAATCCATTCAATAATTTGTGTTAACCACTTATTGGCGCTATAGTCTGGGATTCACAAAATCAGTAAGAGTCTTTCTTTTGGGACCATGAACACATTTCAAAGCAATTATCCAGTCCAAAGAAAAGTGGTAGACTGAGCAAATAAAAGACAGAAAGACCCAATTCCCTAAGCCACCCCAACAAGAAAATCAAGAAACTTCCGCTCAACAAGGGCTCGTAGTTAAGCTGCATCAGAGGCGGTTCCTCTTCAGCTCCACAGCGCTCTGATTTTAAGAGCCTGCTCTGATTATGAAGCAAGTTTGAAGAGGAAAGAAAGACGGAGGGGTGATGGAGACATGGTGAAGATGTGGGGTTTACACTGAGAGGTTTTATCTCTCTTCTTCATTTCAAGGTGATATTACTCAAGAAGAAATGTTAATATATCAATTCCTTATCACTGAAACACAGAATGATAATCCTGAAACGATACCGGGGATAAAATCTACCGTCTCTGGCTCTTATTAAAACTTGAAACAGAGGCGTCTCTTTGTATAAACCAGCAGCTTGGAGGAACATTTCAAATTCTAGCGGTGATTCTGGGCCACACATGATCAAGCTGTAGTTTAATGAAGTGGCATAATCAGAAGTAATAATGTAACATTTGATATACAGATTAAAAGATACTCTGAAAACATTAAACAGATTAAGAAAACCAGATTTCAATGTCATAAAAAGTCAATCCTTATGAGACATTCAATTTGGGTGAGAGGACGCTTAAGTCCTGTGTCTTGAAAGAGGACTCAGTGTTTACATTTGAAATAGAGATGAAGAATTAAATAAGGGCCCATGATATAGAAGCAGAGACAGAAAGTGAGACATGATGGCAGGAAAAGAGAGCCTAAAGGTGAGGTGGAGACACACAGAAAGAGGGAGGGTCTCCAACATGAGAGTGAAAATTGGAAATGTGGGAGAGCAAAAAGCAGGAGGGCGAGTGGATGAAGATGGGTTAAAGCCACTCGATGTCCTTTTTGTGATTTACTCAGGCCGCCTGCAGAGACACAGCGAGAGAGGAGAGAGAGGAGAGAGGAGAGAGGAGAGAGGAGAGAGAGGAGAGAGAGAGAGAGAGAGAGAGAGAGGAGAGAGAGGAGAGGAGAGAGGAGAGAGGAGAGAGAGGAGAGAGAGGAGAGAGGAGAGTA